TTTGCCCCCCCCCACCCAGCAGTATCTGTTGAGTCGGGGCTTTTTTTTCAAAGTGCCAGGAGCTGGGGTGGGTGGGGCAGCCATTGCCAGGGTGGGAGAGCGGGTGGGGGATGGGCCTGGGTGATTCGGCCAAATCGGATGCAGCTGAATCAATTCGGGACAGTGATTTGAATCACCAAATCAAATCACTGTCCCCCTAATTGGCTGAATCCAAAGCGAATACTAGCCGCTTCGCACAGGCCTAGTGTTTATGTAGTTGCCATCCCCATTCACCACCACCTTGTGCTTGTGTGTACTGTCTTCTGTTGGTGAGCACCAAAATTGTCTTGTAAAAGAGGTAGAAATGGGTCTGGGGGTCAGTACAGCTGAGGTCTTGGAATGTATCCCTATTTGTTACATTGTAAAGTATGTTCCCTTTTTGTGAATTTGAGTTATGCACCATTTTCCAGGAACACATGTACAGCATAAGGTGAGGGAAACCTGTATAGCATAGCACCCTCTTTGGGATGATCTGAAAAACTTAACTATAGTTAAACAGCATAATGTGGGAGCAGAACACATTTCAAGTTTTGACTTATTATAACTCCTATGCTTCATTAAATTCCCAGAGGAAAAAAAAATTGTCATTGCATTGTTAATGTAATTAAGGTTCTGGGACCAACCTAAACTTTAGTATTTCAAGGTTTTCCTAAAAAAGTTAAGATTATAACCACAGCATCAGATCATTGGACTCATCAATCACATCCAAGTGCACTTGGAAAAAGTCAGGCTGAGTTTACAACAAAGAGCAAAGATACTTACTATAGAAAGCAGTCTTTTAGGAAATGTCCAGTTCTGTTGAACTATAGCACATGTATGAACAACTATCTGATGGTGGCTTTAAAAAGCAAGCGACTGTTTGAGGCATGGCCTCAGTGGAAAAGGAGGGATAGCTAATTTGAGTAGAGAGACAATGCCAGTACATGTTTTAAGCTAGCTTTTTAAATAAAAAGAATGCATCATTTTCAGGGCTATAATTGACTGAATTCTTCCTATTTTATTAATATATTTTATACGATTATATTGACTATTTATTATGTAATAAGAAGCTCAACAGCTTCTACTGGGAGGGGAAACAGCAGCTTTAACGTCTGTTTGCACTATGAAATATTTCAGGTCACTTGCAAACCACAAGGCTTAGTGCTGTCTGTTTTTCAAATTGTAGCTTCTCTCCAAGTCAAAAGGCCTGGCCTGGAAAAAAATGCTGAAACTCCAAGATGTGCAGGTTGAGCTAGGGTTTAGCCTGGAGGAAATGCTGACCATTGTCGAGGAGGTATTTCATCCTGAGCCTTACAGCATACAGGAAATTTGTAAATGCCTGGGAATTAGCCTGGAGGAACTACGCACTCAGATCCTCAGTCAAAACACGCAAGATGGTGAGTGTACATCAGATGGTGTTTTTGATTTGAAATGTTTGTATTATTTTAGATAGTTAAATGCTAATATACACAGAAATCTTGCCAAAAGAGTTCATCAGGAGCCTGTTTGGAGGGTGCAGAAACTGGTATGCTATAAGCATTCACTGTGACCTTTAACTTGAAGTGGGGAAATGCATTTAAAACACAGTTCCAGCAAGACCAGTTTCTTGGCCATTGTGAATAAATCCCAGCCATCTTAAAATCATGTCCAAACAACTTGTGTCTGATTAAGGAAAAGTTTAAACTGCATTCCTTTTAGAGAATGTTTCTAACAAAGCCAAACTATATTAGAAACTAGTTAGCTGGAGACTCGTTGAATGCAATTTTAAGAAACCTTAATTTGTCTTAAATAAGAGCTTAAGATGAGGCCAACATGAGTCACGCTGCAGCCTTGCCCTACTTCAGTTTGTCCTGCATGCTGCCAGAGCGTCTCTTTGGAGGGCCCTGCTTCTGGTTGCTTCAGGGCATGCTACAGGAGCGTGCCCTGTCCACTTTTTTTCTGTGGGTTTTTTTTTTTTTATTTTGATGCCTGGATTTCCAGGTATCAAATTTAGAGCCCATGCTGCAAATATGCAGCATGGGGAACATTTTTTTGGTTCCCAGTGTGCCTCTTGCAACATCACAAACTGCTTTGAGATGCCACAAGAGGCATGTTCACCCTTGTCTGGACATGCCCCCATTGTCCTACTTTAAGTACCTGTGAAGTATCTGAGCTGACCCCCCAGTGTGGGGGGCTAGTACAAGTTAATTGCCATTCAAACTGTATGGCAAATGATTGCCCTCCTCAGCCCCCAACCACCTGTTTTAATCGGCTTAAAGCAGAGACTCTCAGACCTGGAATAACCCTGACTCTGTTTTAGCCTGTAGGGAGCTTTGTGTACATTCTGGTTAACAGAAGATTAACATCTTCTTAAACAATGAGAGAAAAGACATAGAAAGTAATGTCACTGTCGGAGAATGCAGACAGTACTATGACTGCTTTGACCTCTCCCTTTCTGCCACCATCTCCTTCACTGCTCCTTTTCTCTCACTTTCTCCTTTTGTGGGTCAAAGTGCCACCCCCCAGCAAAACATCAGCAGTGTACCCTTCTGTAACCTTATTCCCTTGATCTGCCTAGGAACACCTATTCTCTCCATGCAGGGGAGAGTTGGCTATGCATTTTTATGTCATCCCAAGATTCTCCCAACATCATAGGAATCCTCAGCTATCGAGTTGGGGTAGCTGTTGGCACTCTTTATACTACTGTGTGAGATCACTATCTCTTTGTAGAAAGCTTTACAGTGCCTAGGTTTGGATTACACTGACCGGCCTGATGTACAGTACTTCAGTTCTGTGAACTCTATATGCTTTAGATATTGCAGAGCATGAGTAACTTACTAATTTTATTTTCCTATGCCACCTTGTCCTTCATATTTCCACGCTCTCTCCTTCATGAGACAGTAACTCACAAATATTTATATTTTGTTACCTGATGCCTACAGCCAGCTTCTAAGGTTCAGTGGAGTTGAATTGTTTATACGGATTGTTATTTAGACTTAAAAAACAGCCTGGACAAAAGATTTCAACATAAAAGCCAAAGAAGAAAGTCCAAGGAAATGTTATGCTACAACTGTGTCTAGTGTTTGCAGATGTTTGCTGAACAGAATCTCTTATAATTCGTATGACCATGATTTAATTTGATAAGGCAAATTAAAATGGGTTGTGAAGTAAGCCTGTTTGCATGCACAGAGATACAACTACATAATAGATTCCTGTAGAATTGTAAGCAACTAAGAAATAAGGCAGATGCAGTGCACATACGCACATGCTCTCAATTGTTTGTTTTTTGTTGTATACCAAACAAATTACACTTTATGTTGATTTTGGAAAGCTACTGTTTGTTTGACAAAAATATTTTTCTTTTTGTTTCCTGTTTTTTTTTCACTGTACCCTAATGCCAAAGCCTGATTTCATGATATGAGAGGAAAAGAAATATTGATAAGTGATCACTGCAGAGAATGTCAGAAATTTTGGCTGAAATTAACTCTTTTGTGCATCATGGATGATAAAATACTATTTTGTTTTCATTGTGAAACTTAAAGAAAGGAGACTCCGATAAATGGTAGAATGTTAAAGTCAGAATGAGAAAACTTATTTCATGGATTCTGAATTTTTCTTTTTAGCTGAATGTACATTTCTTCTAGCTTCCATTTCTTCCAGCTCTCAAAGATCAGTAATAATTATTAACGTTGCATCCTTATATTGTACCCTATGTGTAAGAAGGTGAATGAGCTTTACTAAACGTGTAGCCATTTCAAAGCTGCATAAGCTGATGTGCCAGTAATGAAAATAAAGCCCTAGTCCTGACACAGTATTGTATTGCGCTTTGTTAAAACACAGCAATTGTATTCTTCCCATTCTGGTTAGTTTGCTTATATTAGGAAATTCTTAGCACAAATGGTAAATTTGGCAATGTGCAAGCTTGCAGCAAGGATGTTTTTGGTAATAGATTTTATTGGACCAACTGTATAGTTGGGAGAGATGCTAGACAAACTGTCAGGCATAATGTTCCCTTCTTCAAGTCTGGGAGAGAAGCCTAAGCTTAATACCAGATAAAACAATGACTTGTTTAACTCTAGTGTGCAAGTGAAGATAGTTGCTTAAGAGGAAGAGGGCTGTAAAAACATGGAGCAAAGAGAGGCTATGAGAAGTAGTTGCAAGTGAAGGGCAAATACAAACCCGTCTGCACATTTCCACTAGAGAAAAAGACCATCACCTGAAGCAACTTCATGCAGGAGACGGCCATTACTGCAGCTTGCCAGCTGGCTGTGCTGGTGCAGCTCATGACTTGTTTGCCTTTAGCAAAGGGCTACCTGGCCCTGGATGCAAACAGGCAAAATCTAAACCAGTAAGACTTCCACTGGAAGAGTTTTGCCCCTGATTCTGTGAAGGGTGATTCCCCACTGGATTGGGAGAAGTTACCCCAGTTGAGGGGCTTGTATTATTTATCTGCTACTGTTGTACACTGCTATAGGGATTTCACAGTCTGTAGCTTTTAACTGGTATATTTCCAGAATGCAGAACTCAGTTGGGGGAGAAGTTGAAATCCTTAGGAAAAAATGGTTCATTGATTATTATTTTAAAGTTTTCTGAATTAGGTAAACACAAGTAGCTCTTGCACAAGCATGTCTGAGACCTCTTTCCTTTTAACTCAGTTTTGAAATTCTGGGAGCCAAGGCCATTTGCAGACTATCAAAGCATGTTGTTTTGTACCTAGCATTTGGGGAACATTCAGATATACATACACAAGAGTATTCATTACTTACAAATACTGTTTCAAGTGATCCCCAGGAAAATAATGGATAAGCACAAAGGATCCAAGCAGACACAGCATCTACCAACAAATTGTGCTTTCATCTTGGGTAGTGAGCAAGAGAGGAGAAATTACAAGTTGGACTTGTAGGTTTGACATGCAGTCCTTTGCTTTGATTACACTAGCTGCAGCTGGAGGGAAGCTACAGGTTCCAGCTGTGCTATTTGGTTTTAGCCAGTCAGAAACGCTAATTTATCATCATCTAGCACTCTCTTTTACTGGCCACTTACCCCCTCTGACTCATCAGGTTAGAGTCACATTCTCTCTAATCATATTTCTTCTTGACCCTTTTTGCAAGATTTCTTACCCATTTTCACTGCCCTTTCCCGCATTGTTTCAGAACAGCTATAGAATGCTTTCAGTTGCATTTGTGAGGTGGATTTAACAATCTGTCAGAAGCTGAGTTTTTGAGACCTGCAGGAATGGGCTCTTAACTGGGAGTCAGAGATAGGACCAAAATCATGGTCCCTAACACAATTAAGCACTAGATCCAAACTTTGAGGGTAGTTTTGTAGTCTGGTGTTGGGTTTTGCCATTGAGCATGTAGCTGAAGTTAAAGCTGAGCATATAGCTGAGGATTCCTCCTATGCTAGGGAACCCCCAAGTGTCTACACTGTATCTCACCCCTCTTCCTTTGATGCCAGAAGGGTGTAGAAATTGGTTAGAAGCCACATTTGAACCCCTTTTCCAGCCATACCTTTCTCAATCAAGTCAAAGTCTGAAACCCCCAGTTTTGGAGATGTTTAGACCTGTCTGCAATTTTTGGCTTGGGACCCTCTTTAGAGGCAATCATATTTCCCAGATACACTTCTCTGTAATTTTGGCTTCATAGAGCATTTAGGGTGTGGTAGCTGTGGGGAAGTTGAGTATTTATAAACTTTACCACAACAGGATATTCTCCTATAAAAGTGTATTTCTTTTGCTATAAAATGTTTTCATTCTTCTTAAATGAGGTATTTTTAAACCATTTTTTCCCTTTTACGTATAAACGCGTAATCTAATTTTGACATAGACTTGGGAATTGGAGTATCTTAGGGGTTAAAAAGCATCTGCCTAGTTTCTGGTTTGGCTGGATAGACCCTTCCCACTTCCCTTTTCCCTCAGCCCCCAAAACTAACTTTAAATTCTGGGCAATTACTATGGTTAAAAAATAATTCTCCAGTAGCAGTGCAGCTTCAAGTGTGTGTTTTAGTAGCCTTATGCTCACAAATTTAAGTAGTCCAAAACAGCAACAGAAATGCTTGTACGTTTCTCTCTGTAGAAAGACATATCAGAAAGTAGACTTTTAAACCCCTTCCTATATACATTTGGTGAATCAAACTGTTATTGGAAACCTGGATTTAGTTTTCTCCTATACCACAGGAGAACGTGATAGCAAAGTGCCCCTTCATCTTAGAAGGAAGAATAATAACTATGTGTTAATTTTTGCATCATAAGCATTGGGCCAGCATTGTCTGAGGGGGGAAAAAGTTCTAGCATTAAACAGTGGGTGTCAGGATCAAATGGGTGTCTCACATTCAATAGTTTTTATTTTGCCAATAGTCCCATTTACCAATAGTTCTGGATTATGCTGCACAAAAAGGGTGGTAGAATGTGTTGACGTGA